AGTTGCATGTTCCAGATAAAGTGTCTGTGTGTGGTTTGGCAACCGTTAAATATCGCTGGTGGATGTAGAATAAATAATTTATTGTGTATTTATTTAATGAAACGTAGGAATGTGTAGTAACTGCAGTAAACCAGGTGAGGTTGGGTCTGGTCCCGGGTTGTTGTGAGTTAACTCGGACTGATGATCTGTGGAATCAGTCTGATGACTAACAGCAGATATCTGCCCGTTAGTCTGGTTCAGTCAGACGGTTGAAGAGGTCAGACGACTGGTACTGAGGACAAACACAGTCTGAAGTATTTTCCACTCAGCAGTTTAATATTTCTCAGGCTCTTTATAGATTCACTGTGGACCTCTCTCGCTCTTTAGTCACCCTCCATTCCTTCACTCTCTTCCTCCGTCTGACTTTAGCTCCGTCCGATTTATTTCTGTCATGTAGGTGATTTTAATGTCACAAGCTCAGCTCAGTGATTTTAATCCTGTCTTATGTATATTTTCTATCTATAGAATGATCCTTTATTTACATTATTTACATTATTTAAGTTTTTGTACAAGTCGTAGTTGACATTCTGTAGGTTTTGGGTGATCGGACTGCAGTTGATCACGTGAAACATGGTAGAAGATAACATCACGAGACAGTGGGTGTAATCCAACATGGCGGCATCCTGCTACTAGACCAATCAAACAAATGACCACAACTCAATCAAACTACGTCCCAAACTCTCCAGAAACAGCAACCAAACAACCTGAACCAGCATTTTCCCTGGAATATACCGTCAAAACTTCATCAACGACTACTTTTAAAGAAACAGACGAAGGAACCGAATCCATAAACTGTCCATTCAGGAACTACTTAATGTGTAAAATACCAACAACAAATCAAAACACTACAGATAGAAATCAACCAAAAAAACCTTCTAGACATCCAGGGTGGCAGCAAGCACCAAAACATGGTGTTCAGAGGAATAACTGGACAAGAAAACCCCAAAAAAGGATCCTGAAACTAACCCAAAATACTGCAAACAACATCCAACAAATTACAGGAGACAAAGACGGGATAAATCCACGAAACCAAAGAGCATCAGACGCTACAGAGAGGAAGTAAAGTGATCTGAAATGAGAGAGGAAAGTACAAAATAAAGCAGGAAGTGAACGTATAAACGAATAAAGAGACAGACACACAAAGTGCTTCACACACACACACACACACACAGACACACACATATATACATATCGGTGAAACGTGTGTAAATGTCCATTCGCTCCACCGCCTCCAAAACTGTGATTCATTGGGGAATAAAATAATAATCCGAGCAGTTTCAATAATGTCCTCTCAGCACGTTGCTGCTAAATAAAAACAGGAAGGAGATTTTGGATTGAACGATTTAAGGAAGTTTGATTGAGGGAATTAATTTAAATATTATGCAGCTGAAGAAAACAGTGAAATAAAGATGATGCCAGTGGGTTTGATATTTGAGCTCAGGATTCGAAAGCCGTCTCAGAGATGGTTCAGAAAGTTACGTACGTCTGTATTATCGTTATTTTGCAAACAAGAGGAGGACGTTTGGTTGTTTGAGGTGGACGCAGATTAACACCAGGTGTAAACGTAATCGGGTTAAATCTCCGGTTACAATCTGGATACGAGACTAAAACGAGTCTCTGGTCGGAACATATCGAAATAGTTTCTCAAGATAAAATTGTTATTAGATTATTATTGAAATGATGTCATGAAACCCAACAGCAGGACACACAAACACTGTTTGATACAACAACACAGTAACATGGAGGAAGAAGAGGAGGAGGAGGAGGAGGAGGAGGAGGAGGAGGAGGGACTGAAATGTGACTGACCTCGAGTCAGAAATTGAAAGCAGTTGTGGAGAGTGTGTGTGTGTGTGTGTGTGTGTGTGTGTGTGTGTGTGTGTGTGCGTTTTAGAGCCGTTTCCCACGACACCAAATGACCTCCGTCTCTCTCGCTCTTCCTCTCTCGCTCTATAAAAGGGTCGTCTGGTGGCAGTTTGGTGACCGGTCGGACTTAAAAAGGACAGAAAGAGAGAGAGAATGAAAATATTTGGAGAGGAGGAGATTGAAGGAATAGTTGAACATTTTGGGAAACGAGCTCGTTCTCTGGGTGCCGTGTTCAGATGGATGTGTCTGCAGTCAGCAGGTTAGCCTAGCTTAGCATAAAGACTGGAAGATTAAAAAAGTACACCTAACGCTCACTGATGAACTCGCTGGGTCTCGTTTGTTTGAACCTAAATGTAAAAAACAGTTACTAGTGGGTCGGTAACAGTGACGTTGTCCAGTTTAGTGCCTGTACAGAGACCACCAACCAGATCTGACCAGGATTCCCACTCTTTTTAAGAAATCAATACAATATATTTTATTGTATTTTTTTTATTATTATTATATTTTTTATTTTGTTATATTTTATTTTATTTCATTATTTTTTCTTCATTTTATTTTCTAATATTTTATTTTATTATATTATATTTTATAACTTTTTGTTTTAATTTATCAAATTTTATTGTATATTATTATATTTTATTATATTTTTATTATTTTTGATTTATTTTATTTCATAATATTTTAATTTAATTATATTGTATTAATTTATTTTGTTATATCTTATAATAGTTTTTATTATTTTTGATTCATTTTATTTTATAATATTTTATTTTTTCTTTTTTGTTTTAATTTATTTAAGTTCATTGTATATTATTAGAATTTATTTGATTTTGTTATTTTAGGTTTATTTTGTAATATTTATTATAATTTTACTCTTTGCACTAAAGTGTGAGCTCGCTGTCTCTGTGTATCTGCAGTGTTTATTATGTGATGCCGTTTTTATTTATATGTGTTTTGTTTTGTTTATTGTGTATTTAAAATAAAAACAGAGATGCTAAATCTGGAGGGATTATCCTTGATTCATTCTGATGTGACAGAAACTGGATGTTTTGATGCAACTTGAGGGAAAGAACACGATTGTCTGTAACTGACCTCCGCCCTGTGTGGACTTTATAGTCACTACTTCCTTCTTTGCTCCCGATGGACTACAGTCATCGTTCTACAGCTGGCAGAGGTCGTTTTTCTTGGAAAGAGTCTCTATCAAACTATTAGTTCATTGTCTCTCCATTAAAACCAGTTCTGGCAGCGAAGGGTGTGACCATGTTTTAGACATCGGGGGTCCAGTGGGGGGGGCAGGGGGGCATGTTAAGATATTTTCTACTGTATATCGCTGGGGATAGATACTGGTACTGAATGTATTTAATATCATCAGATCAAAAGTCATTTTTATCTTTTTTTCATTCTGTTTTAGTCACAATGTCATTACAACTTTGTCAACTTTTAGTCAACATGCTTTCTTTTTTAATGTGTGAGAGCGAAACCGAGATATTATTATCGTCATTATGTACGTTTAATTATTATTTGACAGTAAAGACGAGAAAAGAAAGAAAATATGTCACATTTCTTCCTGTCTCATCGACATTTCAAGTTTTTATTATCAGAGATCTGTTTTTGAGCTTGTTGTCGTCATGGAAACGATGTTGTCCACACACAGCACTAACTGCAGTCGGAGTAATGATACAATAACAGCTCTAATGTTATATTGATAACGTTCATCAATAATCGATCACCAACATGTCGTCAAACATTTAATAACTGTAATGTTTCTCAGGTGATGTCAGCGATGACTGTGTGTGTGTTTAGCTCCATATCTGGGAAGTGAGCTAATATCAGAGTCTTCAGGGTCTAATTTTAGAGTATGTGTGTTTTATTGCAACACACACACACACACACACACACACACACACACACACACACAGTCCAGATGTTTCCTATTGAACGGGTCCGGGGAGACCAGCTGGGTCGAAGCTCCGACACCAAGAAACCCGTCAGGAGAACTCGGAGGAGAAGATTTATTTTAAAGATGCTGCAGTTTTAAACCAATTATTTATTTTAAAAGGAGAAATCCTTTTTCACAGCTGCCATTTTTGTGCTGATTAAGGCTCACTGGAAAGTCTTTGCTACACTAAATGGAACAGAGCCTTAATTAATGCCATTGTCTGTGTTTACCTGACTGTTTCATGTTAAACTGTTTGCTGTGAAACGGGTCTTTTCTCCTCCAAAGTGTCAGTTGCTGCATCACTGAGTATGAAACCCTGAACACGTAGACTCGTAGGTCTTAAAGGGGTTTAAGAAAACTTAAAAAATATACACAGTACGTCCAAACTGCTACATTTTATTCATTTCTGTGAAGAAAAAACTAAATTAAGTTGATTTAACTCAAATAATTGTTCAATTGTAAGTAAAACAAACTCAGAATGATCTTCCATATTGTCACATAAACTGTTACCAACCCTCCGTACAACTGTTGCCCCCCTTCAACCCCGCTGCATTTCTTAAATATTCTGTCTGGGAGCAGCGTGAGTCTCTAAATTCTCAACACACAAAATACAGCCACCAAAGGCTGAAGGTTATTTTAATTATCTGTTCTGGACACATTTAGACTTTTAATTAATGAAAAAACACACAAACTGTCTGAAGATTTGGAAATAAAACAACTTCTATTCCCACCTTTAGATATTTTTACTTAGAGCTTCACTTACGTGTCACAATTATGTTTTTTTTCCCAGCAAATATTGTTAAATGTGATTATTTCTGATTAAATCTGTAAAGTGTGAGACAGTTGATGATAATTACATCATTAACAATATCTTTGTGACAAAAACAGCAACTTTCTACATAAAGAAAACACTTATTTCTCTTGTCCTACTCTATAATTATCAATATATTTAAAATGATCCTCCTTTTCTTTCATGCACATTGTTTAAAAAGCCTCCAACCTCATAAAGATATCTGATTTACATTGTTATAAAGTTTATAAAGTTATTTATAAAGTATTTTGTTGTATTAAAGGAACTGATGGAGCTCTGGATTAACACTGACCACTGCTGCCATCTGCTGGTCCAAACACAGAACGACACCCAGTTCAAAACATAAAGCAGGTTTTAATCTATTTTTAATTATATTAAAAAACATTTAACAGCATCAGAAAACATTCAGATATTGTATTATGTTATCTATGATACATACAGTTACATAATGAAGTCCTGAAATCATGACACTGATTCAGTGAATAAAATAACATTTAACTTTAACTCATGTTGTGCGAGAGGGTGTTTTTATAAATGTGCTGCTAAATACGGAAGATCATTTCTGCCAATATGATGAAAACAAAGGATCCTGTAAGTTAATATATGAAATATATCGTTATTATCTCGACGTACAGAATCCTTCTGTTTTAATCACATTGGTGGAAACGTGCTTCCACAGTTAAAAGGTTTATTTGGGGCTAGCAGTCTTTGTGTTTGAGGTGGTGTTGAAAATGTGACCCCGCATTACGAACAGTCTGTGCCGGTTCAGACGGCGTCCTCCTGCCGTACAGGTGTTGTAGGTTGCATCATTTCCTGCTCCGCTGTATCGCCGTTGGTCTGATTCCCGCCGCAGGGGAACAACCTGTGGACCGTCAGTCTGAACGGTGCGTACAGGTAGAAGAAGAGCAGCGGGTCGAAGCAGAGGTGCAGCACGGTCAGCAGCAGCGTCGACTCCTTCCCTAGAAACAGCTGCCTCCTGATCGCGCAGTCTGTGATCACCTTATTCTGCGCCAACGTGTACGGCGTCCGCACCACGTGGTAGGGCACGAAGCTGAGCATGTAGGCCAGCGCTACGGCCGTCACGCTCCCCGCCGCCTGCCTGGCGTCCACCCAGAGTTTGGGGTCGCTGCGACTGCCCAGGAGTCTTTTGAGAGTCAGACCGCTGGAGACGAGCACAGCGGCGGAGGCGTTGAGGAACAACGCCATGCAGAGGAAGACGGTCAGAGTGTGCCAGTGGAGGCTGATGTCCTCCTTCAGAGAGGAACATCTGAGGTAGCGCTGCTCCTGCACACACACACACAGATCATAGTTAGCTTTTCATCGGGACGCTAAAAAAAGTTTCTCTTATTTTGGAAAAATTTCTCATTTTTTTTGAAAAATTTCTCTTATTTTGAAAAAGTTTCTCATTATTTTGAAAAAGTTTATAATTTTGAAAAAGTTTCTCTTATTTTGAAAAAGTTTCTCTTATTTTGAAAAAGTTTCTCTTATTTTGAAAAAGTTTCTCATTATTTTGAAAAAGTTTCTCTTATTTTGAAAAAGTTTCCCTTATTTTGAAAAAGTTTCTCTTATTTTGAAAAAGTTTATAATTTTGAAAAAGTTTCTCTTATTTTGAAAAAGTTTCTCTTATTTTGAAAAAGTTTCTCTTATTTTGAAAAAGTTGCTCATATTTTGAAAAAGTTGCTCATATTTTGAAAAAGTTTCTCATTATTTTGAAAAAGTTTCTCATGATTTTGAAAAAGTTTCTCATTATTTTGAATATTATAAAATATAATAAAATGTTTGACCTTGAACTGACTCGTCTTGGGTTTTAGGAACCGACGTTAAGCAGCAGTAGTAGAAGAAGTAATAACAGTAGTTCCAGTACCTTTAATTCCCGTATGGGCAGAACCATGTTGGGCACCATGATGAGCAGCAGCAGCAACCAGACGACCAGCGACAGCAGCCAGGCGAAGCCGATCTCCTGCACCTGCAGATAGCGCAGACTGTGGCAGTCCTGCAGGTAGCGGTCGATAATGATGAAGGCGAGGAAGGCGATGGACGCGTAGAGGCTGATGTAGATGGTGACGGCGCTGGCCTGGCAGTGGAACACCATGAGGCTCCAGGGCGCCGCCCCGAGGTCCTTCAGGATCTTAAAGGGCAGAGCGAGCAGCAGCAGGAGGTCGGCCACCAGCAGGTTGACCAGGTAGATGCTGGTGCTCTGCTGCTGCACACACACAATCATCACTAATACATTCCTGAATAACGTCCTATTACAATAAACGGCGTGGAGCTAACGGTCCAAATAAAATATAGGAACATTGCAGATAGTAACGTTATTCTAAATATGATTGTCAGTTATTTCACAGCGTGTTTGTCGCTGTTGGCCGACTCTCAAGAATGATGCAACAGGACGCTGACTGCAGTTCACTGAACGGCCACTGGTGGCGCTGTTAGCTACAGTTTAATGAAGCTTTAAACAACCGGTCCTACCTTGGCTCTGGGACTGCGGATGAAGACCCACACAGACAGCAGGTTTCCAGGCAGACCGATGATGAAGATGAGGATGTAGAGGACGGTGAACGGTCCCATCTGGTCGTTGACGATGCAATCATCGGCTCCTCCGGAGCTGGAGTTGGAGGAAGGAACCATCCTGGGAGAGCTTCACCTGTTCGCTGTCGTTCACCGTGAATAGTTTAATAAAGTTGAGCTGAGGAAGAGAGAACAGAGAGTTTTATATTGTGCTTACTGCGGACTGTTAGAGGAAGTCTGACTCTTTAAGCTGCTGTAGTTGTGGTTTGGTTCACAATCTGGTTGGAAACAGGAAGAGCAGTCGGTAACGTTTGAAGTTTCTCATTATTTAGAAAAAGTTTCTTAATATTTAAAAAAGTTTCTTATTATTTAGAAAAAGTTTCTTAATATTTAAAAAAGTTTCTTATTATTTAGAAAAAGTTTCTCATTATTTAGAAAAAGTTTCTTATTATTTAGAAAAAGTTTCTCATTATTTAGAAAAAGTTTCTCATCATTCCGGTAACGTTTCACTTTACCCCGACAGGAGTTCATCGGACCTCCGAGAGCTCCTAACGGGACCTGCCAGAATCCACCGGGCCCAAAGCAAAACAACCAATCAGAGCCGAGAAAGACAGCGTTCAGAGTGTTCGCATCTTTCTCTGCTCTGATTGTTTTAAATTCAAGAAAATACAAACAGAATGAGGAGCACGAACAGTTCTGACAATCGTCACGTATTTGCCGTCGATTGTTCAGATCTGTGGAAAAGTTGTGGAGAAAGTTTGAGCAGAATTCACAGAGGTTGATTGAATTCGTGTTAATTGTTCTGTGCAGAGACGCTGAGAGAAAGTCCGTCTGTGTAATAACTGCATGACATTCAGGGTTTTTACATTAATTTTAATAATTTATAGCCAATTTACAACAATTTACACATTTTAAAATAACTTTTTAGCAGATAAAACAGATTAAAAAAACACTTCCTGCCATAAATACCAGAGTTCACATGTAAATCTCATATTATGTGAATGAGTTTATGTGTTGTATGTTTGCATATTGTAAAGTAATGACGTGAATTACCTGAGTAAGCTAGCCACATTAGCCTACAGAAATGCTAACTTCATATATGAAAGAGTGGCACTCCGTTACTGTCGTAGCGTGCAGGCTAATCTGTTAGCGTTGTATGTTATAAAGGATGAGCTGCGTTCTGGAGGTGACAGACGAACTGTTGTGCAGAATGCAAAGCAGATTCTGTGGTCGCACACGAGCCTATCTGCAGCAGGAAGTCGTAAATCAGGAACCTTCCCCTCGCTTCACTCTCACACAACGCAGCCACTGTACAATGTGATGTGACACTCGCAGGTACAAAGCTGCTGTTACTAATATTTTCTTACACTGTAACCTCTAACCCAGCAGCTGGATGCCAAACAAACAGTAAAATAACAGAATTTCTATCATTAAAATACAGTTTTTAGCTTTAATTCGACATAAATCTTGTAATTTTTTGTCTTTTTAATGTTTAATTAAAGATATTTACACAATAAAACCAGTGCTCTATAAATCCAGGTGAACTCTGCTATAATACAATAATCAGACTTACATTTACAGCAGAGTGCTGTTATTATTGGATTGTTATTATTTTAATGTGAATGTTAAAAGTTATAGAAGTGTAATAAAGTCATTATCTGTGAGATTACAGTAATTATTGCTGTTTACACTGATAACAACTGTATTTGGACAGTTTACCTTATACACTGATAAACAACATTTATTTAACGTTTCTGTTGTTAAAATTTCCAGAATTATACAAAATATCTGTCAGTTAACAAAAAAATCCATTAAAATTACACAACAAATACTTTTTTACTGTTAATGTCACTAATAAATACAATTTGAATCTATTAAATGAACATTAAATATCTGCAGTATCTGTAACCGCTCTACTGCCTGAGCCACAGCCGGGGGCGGCGGTGGGGGGGGGGATCAGAGGTTTCACGTAAACATCAGTCAGTTCTCTTTCGAGTAACAAACCATAAACGCAGATTAGAGAATCCTTAAATGACCGAACTGACTCAGCTAGACAGGAAGTGACATCAGGACTTCTGCAGAAATGAAAAGGTCGCAGGTCGTCGCAGCCCGATTACATTTAAATGTCAAAAGATCCATAAAAGACCCAACAAAATACCCACAATGCCTTGCTGAGTGACGAGCCTCACCGTGGATGACCTTTACACTGAAACAGAAGTGTGTTTCTGTGGATTATTGTTAGGTTTGATGCCTGTGTGCAATCATTAATGTAATTGGGAACTTATTGACAGGGACAGATTACAGTGTGCAGGCAGTGGGAGGAGTTTGGACGTATTTTTATTACTCAAAGATGTTAAAGTACCAAAAAAAGGAAGGTGTTAAGGTGTTTCCAGCTGAGCTCACTGATTACTGTACAAACACAACTTCATCAGTGATTTGGGTGAAACTGGATCATATCTTATGTCTGTCCCAGTGAACACAACCTCAGAGACAGACAGAGGACAGATTGACGACAGCGGTACCGAGGTGATTGATGGGAGTTTCCAGATAGACTTGGTGCTAAAAGAAGCTAACTGTCCTCCGTCAGCATCAGATGCTGCTTTCAGTCCCGGTCTGGACCTGCTGTTCACTGGGAGCTCCCAGTCCGACAGAGTCCCCTAATGGATCCACTACAGCTGCTGGACTGGGGGGACGTAGCACACAGCGCTGTTAGCTACAGCGAAAGGTCCGTCCCTAACTGCCTTATGATCCACCCCTCCTTCTCCATATCAGGTCTTTCTCACTGTTTTTACTACGTCACGAAACTTCGACGTGTTCAGAAATGATGATGTTACTTTATTGTCCGATCAACACTGAAAATCTTCTTTAAATTAAAAAGTCTGAACAGGAAACAAACATCCAGAGGACACTGCAGGGATTCCTACATCACACCAGGTGTCCACATCTACAGTCAGTGTTTGGTTTGTGTGTTCTGGGCTACAGGAGGAACAAGGCGGACTCCGCCAGAAGACGACAAACACAACGATGCTTATTTTAAACAAACCTATGATATTATATAAAGTTTCAGGCAACAGATCCTTTCATGTTACTTTTTAATTTGTTTCTTGTTTTTGCTTTGAAAAAAAAAGTCAATTTCTTGTTTTCATTAACTGAGTTATTAATATAGTCTCCCACAGACAGTGTTAGTGTCTGACAGCTGGAACTGAATCATCAACATCTGTTTCTTTAATAAAATATAAAATATAAGAGTTTATTCTGTCAGTCAGACTCTGAATATGATCCAACTCTTATATTTCAGTTTCTGTCTCACATCAGCAGCTGGATGAACACAGATCAGTCTGAATCAACCCTTACCTCCTCTATCGCCCCTCTCTCTGGGGATGGGGGGGGGGGGCTCTCACGTGTTGGATCCCTGAGGACTCTCCAGGGGTCTCCTCACGTCCTCGGGGTGCGTTTCAATCAGTGTGTTGGAGCAGCTCATGTGCTCGGGGCTGCGGAAGCTGCAGACGGATGAAAAGTGTTCCTGTAGCAGCGTGTTGCTGTCGTCAGTCTGACCACAGGCCACGCCCCTCCCCCATCCCACAGACACACACACACACACACACACACACAGGCAGCTGCTCAAGGGTTTTCCAGCAGTTGAGTGATGAATAAAGGTTATTTCATATTGACTGTGGGTCTCACATATCAGTCGGTTGTGTGGGAAGAAAGAAGTGAGAACAAGGTGAATTCTGATGACTGTGAGTTTAAAAAAGAAACTGGGAAGTGATTAAATGCCAGAGAGACTGACTCAGCTCTGGAAGTCACAACGATTCAGTTCTTTATTATTGAAAGTTACAAAAAGTACACAGTAATAGCTTGTCCTAGCATTAGCACACTAATATGTGAACTATTATCGCTCGTCCAATGAGCTCAGCTAATAATCCACAGATGGAGTCACTGAGGGTTCCCAGTGGAGAACATGAAGGTTCCTTTTGTTTTAATTCACACATTATCCTGAAATTGTCCAGAATTGAATGATTTACAGACACTGAAGCTGCAGTAACTGGTTGTATGCTAACAGTCTGAGCTACTCGATCCTTGAATTTCCTCAAAGGGGATTAATAAAGCATCTATCAATCTATTATCATTAATATAAAAATATATTCTTCCTGTTTTCGAACTTGTTGGTTTTGTATCAGTTCTAAAAATGTAACAGCAGCTTCCGCACACATTCAGATTCTGACAGCGATAAACAGATGGTTGCCATGGTGAAAACAAATAACTAAGTGTGAACAAGTGATAATGAGATCCATATTTTAAACTTCAGATGTTTATCTGTAAATAAAACATAGTAAATGTTTTTATTTTACTTAGAACTATAAAACCCAATGAGTTCAAACTGGTTACCTTAAACCATTTAAGCTCCCAAAAATACAAATAACTCAAGTAAAGTTACTCAAGTTAACGTAACATGGATAAAATAAGCTAATTGTACTAATTCCCTTCAGTTAATTTAACTTAAACTAAGTTCATTTATTAGGATATTACAGTGTGTATGTGACCCACAACACTAACATCACTGCACAGTGAACACAAAGCTGCTGCAGTTAGTGTTGTGCACATTACAGATATGAGATGATTGAACAGCTTTAACTAAATATTTAAAGTAAAAACAACATAAATGACAGTGAATCTGCATTAAAGCAGACGGACAGCACTCGCTCACAAACGTCATATAAGCTGCAGTTTTGTTGCTGTGGTTGATACACACACACACACATATATATATATACATATATATTAATATAGATATGAGAGTTTCACTCACAGCTCTGGAAACAATAGACTCGATGTTCTGTTCCACTTCGCAGTGTCACACAGGTCATCCTCCCAACAGCTTCAAACTCATTTTAATCAATTTCCAGGTGTTTCTATGATTTGAGGGAACCCTGAATAAAGCTGATTAAATGTATATTATTCAATTTATTTCAATTCAATTCAATTCAATTTTATTTGTATAGCGCGAATTCATAACAGAAGTTATCTCAGGACACTTTTCAAATAGAGCAGGTCTAGACCGAACTCTTTAACATTAATTACAGAGACCCAACAGTACCACCATGAGCAAGACCTTGGAGACAAGGGCAAGGAAAAACTGCCTGTTAAAAGGCAGAAACCTAGGACAGATCCTTCGGCTCTAGGTGGGTGGTCGTCTGTCTCGACCAGTTGGGGTGAGAGAGAGAGAGAGAGAGAGAGAGAGAGAGAGAGAGAGAGAGAGACAGAGAGAGAGAGAGAGAGAGAGAGAGAGAGAGAGAGAGAGAGAGAGAGACAGACAGGTGCACAGCAACAACAGTATTGGCAATGGCAGTCAAGCAGGACCATGGCAGGAGGCTCCACCAGGATCGATAAGAACCTGCGAGACGAGAAAGCACAAGAACTCCGGGGAAGAAGTGAAGTTAGTAACATGCATTAATGGGACATGAATGAGTGCAGAAAGAGAGAGGAAGGGAGGAGCTCAGTGCACCATGGGAAATCCCCGATAGTCTAGGCCTATAGCAGCATAACTAAGGGATGGTTCAGGACTCACCTGATCCAGCCCTAACTATAAGCTTTATCAAAGAGGAATGTCTTAAGCCTACTCTTGAATGTGGTGAGGGTGTCTGCCTCCCGAACCACAACTGGAAGCTGGTTCCACAGGAGAGGAGCTTGGTAACTGAAGGCTCTGGCTCCTGTTCTACTTTTAGAGACTATAGGAACCACAAGTAGCCCAGCATTCAGAGAACGTAGTGTTCTAGAGGGGTAATAGGGTACTATGAGCTCTTTAAGATATGAAGAGGCCTGACCATGAAGAGCTTTATAGGTGAGGAGGAGGATTTTAAATTCTATTCTACATTTTACAGGGAGCCAATGCAGAGAAGCTAGTACAGGAGAGATGTGATCTCTTTTTCTAGTTCCTGTCAGTACTCGTGCTGCAGCGTTCTGAATTAATTGCTGAAACTGTCACTATGTTCCTGTAGTGCAGAATCTGGTTCCTTTGAGGGAGGAAGAACTGCTTTACAGGAGGAGGGCAGAGAGTTAAAGCACATTCAGGTAGTTCAGGCAGCACCGTTAATGTTCAGGTGTCTGTGATGAGGTATCTAAGGTAAGCAGACAATCTCATGGTCACTGCAGGTGAAGAGGATTCTTAATAAACGTTATGTTTATATATGCAGTCAGGTATTACATAATACAACTGTGCAGCTTTGTGTACACTGGATGAAGCCAGGTTCATATTTTTTGTTTACCATGAAACAAGTTGGTTGCAAACATTTTTATCTGATTGTTAATATTTGCCTTTAAATGTGAAGAATTGTTTCTAAAACTGACCATTATTTTGAAAGCTCACACAGTCTGTGGAAGTGACTTAAACCTGCATTCTCTCTAACAGCCAGCAGGGGGAAGCACCACTCCTATAGTACTGAGTCTTATAGAGAGAGAGAGAGAGAGAGAGAGAGAGAGAGAGAGAGAGATGTGTCCATGTTTGCAGCTTTAATTGATTTTTCGTCCACTTGGGGGCGACGTAACGAGCTCATTTATATTGATTTCTACTTTATATTTAACTGTTTTCTTTCTCTCATCCTTTATTTAATATAACCAGCCCTTAACCTTTCTTGTTTGTTTCTTTTTCTTTTCTTGTTACTTTTATTTTCTCTCATTTGTCGTTTTTCTTGTTTTTTGTTGGGTAATGTTTTGTTGATGTTTGTTTGTTGTCTGTTGTCTGTGTCGAAGCCCTCTGCAGTAAAAGCAGCACATGATAATAATGTGTAAATATCTGCTTGGTCTCAGAGGGTCGAGGTGAAATAGATCCTGTACATTTTGTACCTGTAACGAAGCACATTTCTGAATGAGGTTTGTCACTGTTGTTGTCGGTGTTGTTGTCGGTGTTGTTGTGGCACACTTAAATCAAACTTCCTCCTTGCTCATGGTACGAGCTGCAGCCACATTTAGCAGTACGCCGTGAGAACGGGCTGATTGAAGCGCAGACAGGAGGAGTAAATGTTATGTAACTTCTCACCAGTGAGAACATTTCATTTTAGTTCCAGAACTCACCACCTTCATTCAGATTCCTTTAATATAATAATAATAATAATAAAAACAATAATAATAAGTATTCTGATCTAACATACACAATATATATATAGCCATGTAAAATGCATTGTAATATATTTTCTATGAGAATATTAATGTAATGAGATATTGTACACATAAATAATGTTCTCATATAGGACATCTACAGGTATAACTTATCACATCAACTATAATGCCCGTATCTTTAAAGACAACCTGTCCTTTATTTAAAGTCCCCATGAAACAGGAAGCAGAGAACTGTTAGCTTCCTCGTATTTACATATTTTCTGTAAAAAAAAAAGGCAGTTAGGCAGCGACTTGTTTTTTAACCAGTTTTGGCAATGGGCAAGGTGCGGGCTAACTGGGTATCGGCATCTAATATTACGGTTAGCGACAAGTCCATCTGGAAACTCACATAAATCAAATCATAAACTGACTTCGCCAGCTCCCGGCTAATCTAAGAATGGGCACAGAGGTGATGCTGAGGCGGATGAATGAAGCCTGGTTACTGGTTTGGGATCACTCACTCCTTCATGCCTGTTTTTTTAAACAAACCATCTGGTAAAGTCAGGTTAACAGGCCTCTGTATCGCTGCTCAAATCCAAAGAGTCTACGAGTACTACTTGAGTTCTCAATGTAACAGCTTTCAGAATCTGAAATAGGACAACCGCAGAAAAGAAAGTTAATGCCAAGCTTGAACCACAACGTCAGTTTTCTGATTGCTAACGTGACTTCTGTGTAATGACGTCCTTCAAAATTTCCGTAACAGAATCCAACAAAGTGCAGCAGTATATAATCCAACCACAAGTCTGTTAGAATCCAGTAGATTTCTGCACATATTTCCAGTTGTGATTGTTGTTTGTTAGCTTTAAGCTATAGCACGCTGGCCTGTTTTGTGGACGTGGTGAGCGACAACTTCCTGTTGATCCTGGTGGAGCTCACCCGACCGTCGCTGCTCCTCCTCTCAGTTTTTGCTCCTTGCCCTGTCGCGACCTCTGTGGTGCTGAACACCCCCTTCAGGCCCAGCTGGGCCCGGAAGGCCTTGCAGAAGATGAAATAGATGAGCGGGTCCAGGCAGACGTTGAGAACCGACACCATGATGCTCAGCTCCTTCAGGAAGAAGAACGTCTGGCTACACGAGATTTGCTCCTTTAGGAACACGTAGGGAAGTCGAACCAGGTGGTAAGGGACGAAGCAAACGCAGAAGACACTGACCAGCACCAACATGTTCCTGCGGGACTTGGCGAGCTTCTTGTTGCTGGGTGACATGGGCTGCCTCTGCTGTGCCAGCGACAGCCTGCGGGAGATGCTGTAGTAGAAGAAGACCAGGGACAAAAGGACGAGCAGGAAGATGGCGGCGGAGCAGCTGTGTACGAGCTTGTAGTACAGGCTGAGCTGTTTGCTGTGCAGGACGTCACAGCTCAGTGTGTTGGGGAATACTTCTAACTTTTCCTGGGTGACGAGGGACAGGACGATGTAGGTGGTTGTCATGGCCAAGAGGGCACACCAGGTTACCGTGGAGATGATGTAGGCAGCTCGCGCCGTCTGCAGGATGTGAGTTCCCAAAGGATGGACGATCTTCAGGTACCTAGAGAGAGGAGAGGAAGGTGTCAAGAGAAAATCACAACCAACACTGTTGCCAGAGATCGTCAATATTGAACAATCTGCAATAATAATTAATATTTCTGTATTAAAATGTGTATAAACACAACATTTGATCAATAATCTATAATCATTAAGCAGTGTATAAACTTTGGCTCTATGTTCTATATGTAGTTGAGTTCTTACATTATCCGAAATGTTTCCAACAATATTCAAACTCAGAGAAATCTGTCATGTTATTCAGGTAACGCTGCGTTTCACCGGTCGCCTGTCGATGGCGTCCTATCCCCTTTGTGCCTGCGTCAGCGTTGTGGTTGTCTGCCAGAAGCTGTCATACATTGACTGTTGATCCAGTCTGAAGCCACATTACCATCCACTGTTTAGATCTTGGTGCGTTTTAACTTTAGATTTGCACGTCTGCAAGTTTCATAGTGTCATCAATTTATCTATCCAATCTATTATAATGGTTTATAGTCTAGAGTTTGAGTATCAGTGTGCAGAGCTGTCTATGTGTCTGTCTGTAGGTCTAAGATTACATCTGTGTGACTGATAACTATTTCGAAAGATTTGGTCTGGTTTCAGAGCTGACTTCCCCATTGAGGTTAATTTAACATTAAAACACCTATTATACATGACTTCCTGGTTATCAATAGAAAACATAAACACTCCTTTTTATCTGCTCGTTCGTAGTTTGTTAAAATGTATAAAACACAAAGTCATTCAGCCAGAAGTAAAAGATTCACTCTGTTCACTCAGGGAAGTTCTTTTTTAACACAAGTAGGCCAGAAATACAATGATACAAACAGAGGGTGATAGAGATAAGATTTTAAATGGTTTATTCCATATTATGGATGAAGGTGAACCAAGATGGACTACTGATGGAGGGATGAGGGATTGGATGGAGATGAAGGGTAAGGGATGAAGGGTGAGATCAGGGTTGTGGAAGGACGGATGGAGAAGTTTGATGATGCAGAAGAAGGAAACCAGGACTTTAATAGTGTTTCATTCTTGAACAGGTTATATTCAGGATTTACCAATAAATATCTGAAGGATTCCTTCAGTGTTCATGGTTCTTGGAGCCCAATTATCCACAGAGGTCTCCTCCTCTCCAAAACAAACGGACCCGCTGATTAAACCACTAAAAACACTGAATAAAGCAGTTCCACCTTAACAATCACTGCTTCTCCCACGCTGTTGGACAGACAAAGGACGTCCCGGAAGGGCTGCGAGCCGAGCTGCTGCTAACGTTAGCTCAGCTTGTTTCTCTGATAACTTAAGATCCAGATGTCCGATGACTAAAATCCTTCATCCAGTTCAAATCTAGAGTTAAAAAGCACCAAGATCTAAACAGTGGATGGTAACAATGTGGCTTCAGACTGGACAAACAGTCAATGTATGACAGCTTCTTGCAGACAACCACAACGCTGACGCAGGCACAAAGGGGATATGACGCCATTGACAGGCGACCGGTGAAACACAGCGTTACCTGAATAACATGACAGATTTCTCTGAGTTTGAACATCGTTGGAAACATTAATGTAAAAGTACAGTATTAGTTCTAAAGTTTATACTCTGTTTAATGAGGAAATGTTACAGATTATAGCTTTAAAGTGTAGCTTTTTTTTGTCAAATGAAGTCTAAAGTCATCAAGTTTGTGACTTGAGTCCAAACCTCTGCTTTATGAGGACACTCACTTCGTAGTGAGGAGGCCGCATGTTGGACCAAAGTTTATTATGGTACATGCTGTCAAAGACAAACTGAATACAGTGCAAGTCGTTTAGAGCTTCAGTTAAATGAGTTGCACAACACAGACTTGCAGCTGCAGCCAGCTGTGAGTTATCAATATCTCTTCATCAGCCGTGAATGTTGTATAAATATGCCAACATGCAAGTTTGTAAAACTTTAAACAGTTTTACCTCCACAGAAGCTCTGAAGGCTGCTCAGTTGAACACTGAATAGTGAAGGGAACCACATGCTTGTGCTTTTTAAGCACACAGTCTCACATCCTTATAATGACACGAAAACCTGCTCAGTGAGCTGAGGGAGACTATACATATTTATAGTCTGTTCAAAGCTGTAGAGCTCCAGTTAAAAGTATACTTTATCTTTTGATCTGATCTTGTTTCAGTCTGTCACCAAACAGAAGTGAAAGTCTGTATCATGAACTCTATTGTTGGTGATTTGTTTTCTCACTTCTCTGACTGATCTGTGTAAATACCACGTATCTAATGGACTGTTATACTATTTTATTGTGCAAAATCTTGATTCGGATCCTCGCTGGGTATCAAAATGAGGAAGGAAAAACCACAAAATCCTGGAGCTGAAAGGTTTCTTCTTTAAATCCAAAGACATTGTGGAATTATTCCTGAAAGTGCACAGAAATCTTTAAACAGCTGCACTGCGTTAAGAAGACATGAGTTTTCTCAGTAAAATTCTGCCTCTGCAGCAGTGACATTTATGGTCCTTTGACCTCAATAAAACCCCCCTATGATGCAAAGACTCATCTAACCACATTCGAATTACTCTGAAATGATTGCCACACTTGATTTTGACTTGACTGGTCTTCCTTTAAACCCACCAAAAGACTTTTATACTGAAACCACATCCTATTTACTGCCTGTAATTTACTTAGCTTTTAACCTTCAGAGCGAACCTTTAAATGGTAAATTAATTAATTAAAAATAAATTAAATGGTTAATATTGAAAAAGAGGACATTTTGCTGTTTTACAGATATTTGATTTGGTATAATCCTGAACAAACCAGGATGTCAGGTCACAGCAGCTCCATGCTGCATAATAGTTATGTTTATACTTGTTTCTGGAGTCCGCTTAAAGGACATGTTCCCCAATGTGTAGTGGCCGTGCAGACAGGCTCTGTCAGAAAGAACTGATGACTTATGACTAAATGAATGTTAAAAAACAGGACCTTTTTGGTGTTTAACAGCTTCTGTCAGAAAGAACCTACAATGTTGCTTATGACTTTGTGAATGCTGAAAAACTGGATCTTTTTGGTGTTTTAAAGATATTTCAGAACTCGGGACATCCAGCTTGAAACTGGGACATACCGCATTTTCAGAGGTAGAATTATTTTAGCGTTTAGCACACCGACGGAGCGCACCTTTAGATGCCATGAACCATTGTTTTCTTTGCCAGGTACTTTATGAAGAAGTAATTGATCTCTTTAGAAAAGGTTCTGTCAGAAAGAACCTATGACATTTGACATTAGTGAATGTTGAACAGGATATGGGACAGATATTTTGGAACTCGGGACATCCAGTTTGAAACTGGGATAATCCCAAACAAACTTGGATGATCCATAGCTCCATGCAGGGACACTGAAACTGAGCCTCCTATTCACAGTGATACCAGCCAGTAACAAGCTGTTCTACCCCTCAAGGCCACGTTGCTGTCCGGCCCAGTCCTACCTGTTAGCTGCGATGTAACCCATGAACAGGATGCTGGCGTACATGTTGAGATAGAAGGCGGAGGCACCAAAGTTGCAGTACACCTGGTGGATGGGGACGGATCTGCTGGCATAGTTAATAATCCGGATGGGTAGGCAGAGGCTGATTAAGAAGTCGGCAGCTGCCAGGTTCTTCAGGTAGATGGTGACACTGCTGGACACCTGCTGCTGAGCTCGGCAGAAGTAAACCTTCAGGGTGAAGCCGTTGAGGAACAAACCCACCTCCAGAGGAAACAGGTAGATTTACAGTCAGGATTTCTTTTGAAAGTTGGGGTCAGTTCTTCAAGAAATTGTTCCAACAAATCATGAATCTGAATATTTAAAACTCACCACAAACACAAGACTACAGAACACCATGAAGAAAATATGGGCCGAGGTGTCGACCTCCTTGCAGGATGTACCGTTGATCTGTTTGGTCACTGAGGACTCGTTTAAGGGCGGGGTCACTGTCACTCCTCCAGGGCCACTCATGTTTCTGGTTGTTCTAAGAGAGTTGAACACAAACTGCTGAGTCGTGCAAGGCAAAACAAAGCAAGTTTTACTGGTTTAAACATCATCTGTCTGCATACAGGAACTGTTTATGGTTAAAAGGGAAGTGGCAGATCATCAGCAGATACAACACAAGTAGCCAGAAGTTCTAGGCCTAATACCAGCGATCTCAATCTGACTTATGATGAACCACAGAATCAACCCGAGTACACTGAAACACCCTCTCAGACCACGCAATGTTTGTCATACAGGAAATAATTGGTTCAACGTTTTAAAGGTAGACAAAAGTGCTGATACATGCATGTGTGCTCACATTAAGACACTGAAATTCAGTCCAAACCAAACGAGCACACACAGAATTTGACAATTGTTGTTTTGGTTCTTTTTTTAACTGTAGACTAATTTGGGGTGGTTGTCAGCTGGCTGCAGTTGTGTGTGCTTTGTGACAGAGGAAACAATTGAAAGAAACAAGAAAGTCCCCAGAGTAGAAATGTCTTGTGTGCTGTGTACAAACGGCCAACACCCACCACAACACTTTGTCAAAGTCAAAGTTAACATTACTGCAAAGCTTCTGGAATATATTGTGACATTGGGTTTATCTGGCTAACATTAGCTTAGTTGCCAAAAACCAATTGCTAATGAGCTACACCTTTGCTTTGCACTGTTTTTATGTATTGTTGTTCATATGTTTTATGGATCCCTTTAACTGGTGAAAGTAGGCAAGTTAGCCAACTAACATCTACTTAGTATTGTGATAGCAATAATGATAAATGCACAAGGTTAGCCAGCCAACTGCAACCCAGCCTCACTGCACGTATCCCCGGTGTTGGTTGCAATTTTCATGAAATTTGGTTCATTATGAAGGTGAGAAATTGAACCTGATACTGGTTGGAATAAATTAAATATAAAAAGTCACTGGGGGTGGAGCTAATCAACTTCATGCCAAAAAACAGTCGAGTCACTGCTCGGATGTACAAACATGAAATATTCAAAACAGGCACTGATAACAAATACAAACAGCCACTGCTAGTCGGTAACATGTTGATATATTTATGCACCAGCTCACACACACGTGAGCTGGTGCATAAATATATCAACATGTTACAAACTACTTATCTAACCAGGAAACTGGCAAGAAAAACTGTGTGTGGAAGATAATTCACCCATTGAATAATATGTATCCTGTAGACATATTTCACTTTTCATAAAAACAAGCAACCAGGCGACTTTATAAAACCACAGATATATAAATATAACAATATGTTGTGCCTTGTTCCAGGTACCGCCATCCCCTCCAACTGGTCAGACACACCTGTATTGGTTTATGCCTGACTGCATGACTGCTATAAAGCTGCTGTGACGGAAGCAGACGGGTCCAGTGGGCCGGAACCACCAGATAGAGTCGTGTCGCTGTCGGGTGTAAAGCAGAGCTGTGTGGTGCTCGCCGCGTGTGTTACCGTTACTCCCTCAGTGGAGGGATTGTGTCATCATATGTATTGGTTGTTTTAGTAGTTTGTTTAGTTTCAGCGGTTGTTCACTTCCTTTCTTTTTAGGAAGTTGTTTTGTGTTAACGTTTGACTTCATTTACATTTAGATAAGTAGTCTAATAGTAAAACACTTTCTGTTTTCCTCTTTTCCCCAGGATCCCACAACAGAGGTCGTAACACAATATATTGTACATAGAAATCTATATTTTTAGAGAAAATTAATAGGTCCGCCCCCAGTAACTGATTTAATTCCAACCAGTATCAGGTTACATTTCTCACCTAAACCAAACAAACAAATTTCAAGTAAATCAGTTCAGAGTTATTTTGTAGTGCAGTCTGAATCTAGCAGATCTGACCTTTTGCAATATGGCGGCCGTGCAGACATATAGCCCTCTGAAATGTTTATTTATACAGAAGGTTGTTGTTTTTTAATAAAAAAATCCAACAAAGTATAAAATAAAATATTAACCTAATATTTTAACAATAAAAATGTGTCATTAAGACAATGTGAAATAACTGTCTCTGTCCAAAGATGTTTGGTTTACAGCCTTTATGTTAAAATAATCTAACTAGCTGCTGGCTGTAGCGTCGTGTCATACAGACACGAGAGTAGATTTAATCTGAACATGTAACTCAGCAAGCAAGCAAACGAGCACAAGTTGTGAAGATATTGCCTCGGTCTGAAACATCCTGCAACACATCTTCTGATCGTGAGAACATCTCATGTCACGATGAGTTGAAACGTGACCTGAATGTCAGTGCATTCATGTCAGTAACAGAATACATGAATTTCAGCAGTATTTTGTTGTAAAAACTTTTAAATGTTATACCTGAGTGTGTCTAAAGAAACCAAAGCCGGCGCTCATTCCTTCATCACAGGAGTATCTCTGAAAATGTACATTTTATTGTTAACAGATTTGTCATTATTTCAGAAAATGTTATTTACAAAACACAAGTTTACAAAGTTTGTGTTTTGAGTCCAAACAATAATAATACATAAAAGCCAAATCTGCCACAACTTTAGTAAAAGCTGAACGAACAGTCTTCAGATAGAAGCGAGATGTAAGAAATATGTCCTTATAAAATGTCCTTAAATTAGTAACTTTTATCTCTAAGTGCATTTTGAGTCAATAAACTGTCTTCTTAAAGACTTAAATTATTAACTTTTTACTCAGTTCTGCTTAACAAATATTCAAACAATTATGAGAAAGTCAAGTCAGTCATAAAGAATATCACATCATCAGTAAAAAAATATGAAATTGACGTATCGCCACCTATACCAGCGTTCCCCAACCAAGGCTGTAGGACCCCTAGATATTGACTCGTCTGGCCTCTGGCCCTTATTATGATTAAACATTCAGTTATTCAGAGTTGTTTTCTGCTCCCTGTAGTTTTCAGCACTTTAAGTGTATTTTGAATCAATAAAACACAGAAATCATACAATAACTCAAACTAGCTGATTGAGGTAGCCGTAGACCAACAACTCCTGTGTTCTGCAAGGTAAAGAATCTGTTCCTGTCTCTGGAGTCTGGTGGAGAGTGATAGTGATATTACAGCTGTTTGTGGTTAAACTAAAGGTCTATCTCTGTAGGGATCCTTTCCATAATGCTGTCAGACACTGACAATAACAACCTGAGTCTGTCAGTGGCTCATTAGTCACTTAGACATAAAAACATGGGACAATAAGGTTGGAAGATACAGTTTCCCTATAAGGACTTTATGTCAGTCATAAAGAATATCACTTCTTCAGTAAAGAAAATTACATTCAAAACATTGATAAAGAAATACTTCTTCCATTTCTGCTAACGTTTGAACCACCGCAGGTGAACAGACTTTCAGTTCAGATCAGTTAACAAACATATTTTCTATCACTAACAGCTCTTGTGTATGTGAATATAACTTTATATATATAGCTAGTTTTCAGTTCATACTTCAAACAAATGTCTAATATTAGTGCAGTAAAAGTAGAAAGAGCAGAGTTACCTGCAGCACTCACCTGTCTGTCTGTTTGAATCTCTGATGTGAAAACTGTCTGACTTCCTTCTGCAGAGCGTTGACATGAAGTAAGGCTGAATAGACGCAGAGAGGGAGGGAGGAGCAAGAAGAGCTGTGGTTATAACTGTGACACAGAGCTAGTAGTGATCAACAGGACAGATCCTACAATGGACACACTTTTAATGATATCTGCGCTCTTTTTCTTTAAAAAGATGCAAAATTAAAACTACAGTCAAGAGCTAAAAGAGGCTTAAAAGCTGCAGTCCGGCACATAACTCCTCATTAAATGGGGGAATTCTTGTTTTTACACTTTAGTTTTTGCACGGATTAAACAAACGACCTTACTCTGTTATTTATTACTAATAAATAAAGCACCTCAATTTAGTGTATAATTTACAGGAGAAACACTGCTACATGCACATATAAGTCATATTAACACACACCAAACACAATTCCAACACCAAGCAAAACCTGCCACATTTCCATTGCTTTTTTTTTCTTCAAAAAAAATCTAAAACTGTTGTAAACGGATGTGATAAACCCCAAAAGTGTCATAAAAGTGAAATATATAGTTTGGTACATGTGCCAAAGTTTGCCAAAATGGCCATTTTGGAGATGCCGCCTAAATAGTCTGTAGTTTTGCTCTGCCTCACTTTATAAGACTCAAACTTGGCAGAGATAATGTGTGCCATCTTAATTTACTCTGAGCCAGTGACGTACATACTGATACTTACACAAATGTCACAAGTGTTCCCTTTATTAGGACACCAAAATTATTCCGATAGACCGTGTAGTTGCAGAGATATACTGTATTCATTTTGGGTGTATGTCATTTTGAGCAGAGGCCTAAAAAAGAGGCTGGTGCTCAAGAGGTTAAAAAATAATGCGTTAAAAATGTAAATTAATGTACTCATCTGTTACTGCCACATCTCAGACTCAGTGGTTGGCTTAAGTTAAAGGACATGTATTTGAAAAAATAAAACAATTTATTGATTTCTAATGCCACCTTTAGATACTTCTATTCAATGTTTTACTAATGTGCCACAATAATTTTATGTTTTTGAGTTAAAATATCTTAGTTTTTGCGTTTTTTACAAGCAAATCAGCGTATATTCCTGCCACCCTCTGGCTATCCCATGTATATTTCCTACAAGCTGCCTTTTTTATAATAAAGACCCTTTCTTCATTGGCATCCAATATGAACATCAATAATAGGGTCAAGACACTCATATTTACGCAAACATATACTTCTTCTTACTCCAGCTTCTCAAAACAACCTGCACTGACATTTAAAAGTCCTGATAAACCACATTTATAAGTAGGTCAGTGAATGCCACATCCTGCTCATGTATACAGGTGTCATTTTCATAGATATGACGACAGTCTGGATCTCATTCAGGTAATTGATGCTTATTATTTACATATCTATGTAAATGTCTAAGGTTAGAAAGAGGAGAATATTAAAGCTGCAGCGGGGTGAGTTCGAGGAACTGCATTCCTGTTTACACCTGATGGAGGAAGTTTACATTGAGGGATTCTCCCCAACTGAGCTGTGAGGAGGAAGCAGTATTATCAGAGTTCTGATAGAGTTCAGTGGTAGTACTTTATATAACAACACTCCGTAAACACACACGGCAGTCCTCTGTTAATAGAGCATTTATAATCATATGTGTACGCTGCCCTCTGGTGGTCATAGTGTTTCACTACAAACTCTGTTTCATAGGTTGCTTGTAAAGCACTTTGTGTTGCATTTTATTGCATGTTTGAAATGATATGTGATTTTGAATAAAAAATAATAAATATAGCAACTTTTCTGGTTTATTTTTTAGCCAGAAAATGTCTTTTCATCTCAGTTTGGTGTCAAATTTAACTCGTTAATTTTGATTATAAAAGAAGAAGTGTTTTTTTTAAATTTACATTTATATATATATATATATATATATATATATATATATATATGTTTTTATTAAAAAGTTCACTGTGACCACCAGTGGGTAGTGTAGACACATTATTATGTATTATTATTATAAAAGCTGTCATGACAATCAACTGTGCAAGGTGTATAATAGCATGTATACGCCATCTGGTGGACACAGTGTGTCACTACATGGCTGTGTATTTTAAAACATTCACTTTTAGAGGTTTCATAGCAACTGCTGTTGTGTCTTTATATTTGACACTGTTGATACCATTAAAGTGTTCAGTGTCTCACTACACCTTCTGTTTTGTCAATCACTTGTAAACTTTTATTTGTTTGAACAGGTTCTGTACAATATATATAAAGCTTGATTGATTGATAGAAAATAGACATTATTAAGCACTGTGACCACCAGAGGCTGACATATCAATCAACTGTAAGTCTTAATAATATACTAAAATACTTCTACTTTTGGTTCTGCAGCACATTTCCTGTCTGGTTGAGTCTCAGTGTTTCCAGCAGGTAGATATTTTTTAATTAAACAAGCTTGTGTGTCCATTGAAGGAACTGTCCTGTTGGTCACTACCGGCTCTGTTTCACCGCTATAACCTCATCAATGTTTCTCTGCAGCTCTTCTCCCTCAGACAGTTTTTCGACATCAGAGATTCACACTGACCCAGACACAGACAGACAGGTAGCTGCTGAAGGTAACTCTGCTCTTTGTACTTTTGCTGCACTAATATTTGTTTTATGTATGAGCTGTAAATACATTATTTTGTGCCATGAATTGAAAGTCTGTTTACATGCTGTTTACATTAGCAGTGGTGAAAGATTATGTAAAGTGTCTTTGAGTATTTAGGAAAGCGCTTATAAATAAAATGTATTATTATTATTATTATACAAAGTAAAAGTATAGACTTGTGGGGGTCCAAAACCCTCCATTGAAATGCTAGTATAGGTGGCAATACATGTATTTTAAATGTAATTTTCTTTAATGATGATGTGCTATTCTTTATGACTCTCAAATTCTCAAATTGCTTGATTAATACAGTATTTGTTAGGCAGAACTGAGTTCACAATTTAAGTCCTTAAGGGGAAACTGTTTGTGTCTAAGTGATGATTCAGGATAACAATGTTTGAATTTGGTCCAGTACTGACCATCAAAGTACGTCTACTAAAAGTTCTTATTTTTACCACTGTTTCAAAACTAAATCCTTGTAGTACATTTAACCACATGAACTTACAATACTTCTTTACCTTTACTGCTGATCCCAACAGAGACAGACCTTTTGTTGAAGAGTAGGATCCTTTTTGTTTAGCCAGAAACAGACGTTTTATCGCTCTGTTCAAAGCAATTAATGCAAGTAACTCCACCTCGCAGAACACAGTTGGTTTTCTGCTGCCTCGACCGGTTAGTTTGTTTGTGCTCTTGTGTGACAGGAAGCAGGAAATACTTAACTGCTGGTCCTCTGATAACATTAAATGTGGATTGTCTGTGAGATATGAACAGTTCCACCAAAAAGTTACTTTCCTTTTAAAACGTTTTCACAAAAATAGCAAAATTCAGTGAGAAGTCCTCCCCAAAAAAAAAAAAATAATTTGAGAAAAATAACTTTGTGACCCCTCAGATTTAGATAGTCTTCATGACTAACCAGTCCTTCCAGAAAAACGTGGAGTTTTTTGTGATTGTTGCGGGCAAAGATCCTTGATTATGCGGCACGTTTTCTTAAAAAATGCGATGGAATATGCGGGATATTTATGCAATTTTATGCGATGAAATTGCGGGAACTTGCAAAAATTGCGGGAACTTGCAAAAATTGTGGGAACCTGCAAAAACTGCGGCTTCATCGCGGGGTTTGCAGCTTTTCGATGATGTTCACGTTGTGTAATTACGTCACTTCATAACGTTCCCATGGCAACAGGGGAAAATGGCCGCATATTTTGTGCGGAAATCGGCGAAAGTGCGGCGTATTTGAAAAAATGAGGCCCCCGCATAAATATGCAGACTTTGGCTGATTATGCATTGAATTATGCGATCGCATAATCGTGTTTCCCTGGAGGGACTGACTAACTGGTTGTTGTGTTTCTCAGAGTGCCTGCTTAATATTTATTTGGCAGAAATGAATAAAACAAATAAACAATTTTAGTCTTTAAGACAACAATTTATGGCCTCAAAATGCACATCAAGTTTATGCTTCATTGTGGTACGAAGGCACGGATGTTGTCTTTACCGACATTACAATTGAACCATTGGCAGTTGGTATCAGATCAGTGAGTAGACTCAGGGGTATTACTAGGGGTGAAACAAGTCATAAAACAATTTTATGCAGATGACTCACCTGGTAGAGTATGTACCTAATATAACATAAATATGTTTTATGCTATCCCAATCCTCGCCCCTCAGACCTATTATTCTCATATCCTGTATTCTCAATGTCAACCCTCATAATAAGACAATCTACAAAATATATAACATAATTCAAAACAAGCAACCTTATACTGTATGTATTATATTTGCCATGGTTTAATCCAATATAAAATTATTCCAATGACAAATTAGCCAAGTTATATACTCAAAATGCAGAGGACGTCAATTTTTCCCAGTTTCCCTTCTGCATATGTTTTGGTCAAATCAAGGTCAACATGTCAATATTTGGACTTAAATCTAGTAACTCCTCAGCCTCCAGCTGCTATTTTTGCAAAGTGAAAAATGGAAATGGGCTTTCTCGCCACCATAAAAAGTGTGTCCTCCTACCTATATTCAGTGGATCTGGGAGATTAAACTAATACTGAATTTAGAGAAAGTAGCCGACAGAGTATGTTGATCAGAGGAGAATGATATACCCCAACAGTAGTGTACATAAATGTTTTGGGTGTTTAGTTTTCTGTTCCAACATTAATATATAAATCATGTTTCTTTTCAGGCTGTGACATATGATAAAATAAATGTTCTCATGATCATTAAGGTTAACACTTTCCCTCTGATAAGGTTATTATCTTTGTGTATGGGGCAATGATGGGAACTCACTTCTGTTCACCACAGACCTTAACAGTGGTTTCGTGATGACTGTTGATGTAAAATATGAGCAGCAACATAACTGGCATACATTGTTAAATAGGGGTATACGACTGAGGATGTTTTCATTTCAGCTGGACTAACTTTGTTAAAAATATTTCATGGGTTTTAAAAACTTCCTGCATCATGCATCGTACTGCATCCTTTATCTGAGTTATGTTGCTGCTCATGTTGCAGATCAACAGTCAGCATGAAACCACATCTGTGGTCAACAGAAGTAAGTTCCCATCACAGTGTCCAGCTTGAAGCAGGTTGGTGACCTAGTTTGGGCCAGTGCCACAGACAACATGTCAGCAAGGGCCCCAGCTATCTGATGTGGACAAATGAATGCAACCAGGACTGGTGGCCTTGCGCATGTTCATCCTCACCAGACAAGTTGCTATATTATCCCTGGAGCACCCGGTCGTCTGGTGCCACAGTAGTCCATGTGCATAAAATATGTTGAGTTCATTCAACAAGGAAGCATTAGTAGTAGGTGTACAGCAAAGTTTGCTTTTATAGTCTGTGATTGTCTGTATAAACTGCCAAATACGGCCTGGGTCATGAGTTGTTGGTGAAATGGTCTTCAATCTGTGGCTGTCTTAATGTCACGCCTGTGGTTGTTCGTTTCCTCTCAGAGCAACTCTTTTTGGCTTCTGAAGGGGGATACACCAGAAAAGGTTTGAGAACACTGCTGTATGCAGATGATGTATCAGTATTGGATGATGTTTAAACAACTTTCTAACACTTAGGGCATTTGTTTTTTGTTCTAACTCTTAGAACATCCAGAAACATGAGTACCCTTAGAGGAGTGACCCCGTCCTTCAACCAGTCCTCAGTGTCCAACCAGATTAACAGCAATGATTCAACTCACTGCAACCAGTTCGACACCTCGGCCTATATTTCCTTCATGGTGGTCTACAGTCTGGTGTTTCTGGTGAGTCTCAAATATTCAGATTCAGAATGCTTTGTTGGAACAGTTTCAGAAGAACTGACCCCAACTGTCGAATCAAATCCTGACTGTAAATGTCCTGTCTTGTCCCTGTTTCCTCTGGAGGTGGGTTTGTTCCTCAACGGCTTCACGCTGAAGGTTTACTTCTGCCGAGTTCAGCAGCAGGCATCCAGCAACAAGAAGCTCGCCAAGTCCCACAGGAACATGTTGGTGCTGGTCAGTGTCTTCTGCGTTTGCTTCGTCCCTTACCACCTGTTTTGACTTCCCTACATGTTCCTGGAGTGGCAATGCTCGTGGAGCCAGGTGCTCCTCTTCCTGAAGGAGCTGAGCATCATGGTGTCGGTTCTCAACGTCTGCTTGGACCCGCTCATCTATTTCATCTTCTGCAAGGCCTTCCGGGCCCAGCTGGGCCTGAGGAGGGTGCTTCCCCCATTGGTGTGACATTTTGTGTTGTTTTAGACTATACAAATTATATGTAGTGTTTTATGCAACATGCTTGCCATTCATTCTTTTTCTTGTAACGCAACAATAAATAACTTGAATGAAGTAGCCAAACCCAATCTTATAAATATTGTGCTTTCATTTACTGCACAGTGACACAATAACATTAAATAGTGAATCTCTCATGAAATCTGCGCTGGTTCCTACTCCCTCCTCCATCTTTTCCCGTTCTTGAGCCATGTGCACCTGTATTGAGTATTGAATACATTTTTATTGTTGGGCTACAGTCAGCCTTAACACTGTGACCACTGCGCGTGAATAACACTGATTATCTGGGTATCAGGGCTCCTGTCAGTGAGAGGGTATATCAGGCAGACAGTGAACATTTTGTCCTAAGAGTTGATGTGTTAGAATCAGGAAAAATGGGCAGCATGAGGATCTGAGCGACTTTGACAAGAACCACATTGTGATGGACGACTGGGTCAGAGCATCTCGAAACCTGAAGCTCTTGTGGGGGGTTCCTGGTCTGCAGTGGTCAGAACTGAATCAAAAGTGGTCCAGGGAAGGAACAACAACTGACAAGCTGAAACAGTTAATTTCACTGTTTTCATTCTGTATTGTGTTTTGAATATTTTGTTTGTACATCCGCACACACATGCAGTCTCTTTCTTTGCAGTGAACAACTTAATTAAACTCTGAGGTAAAGAAAACAACTCTGATACAAAATATTACCAATAAAAAATAACTGAAATAATGACACTGCTTTGAAATTGTTTTATTATTGTTCTTTAAAAAGTCTTAAAAGATGTGAACAGCAGTCACAGATTCATCATCAGAACGGTTCCATAGTGATACGATCTGCTGATAATAAATTATAGACTGTTGGATTTCTCGATCAATCAATCAGAATTGAGTAGTAGTGAACTACTAATTTAATAAAATCTACTTTAATTTTTACTCCATTCTGTTTTATTATCGTCAATCATCTGTGAAGCTCTTTGAACTAAACTGAACTTTAAAAAATGTACAAATAAAGTTTGATTGATTGATTGATTGATTGATATTATTATTAAATATATAAATGCTCTAATAGGAGACCAACAGTTCACTTGAACACTGTTTTAAAATAAGCAGGGGTGTAATTATGCACTGTGGCCACTGGGGGGCAGTACAAACATTACTACAGCAAACAACAGTTAAATGAAGTGTTAGTGGTTTTATTTCAAAATAAAAAACACCACAAAACAAAGTATTTTCTCCAAATATCAGCACCTAATATACACATTATATATTATCTCACTGCACAAATGTTAGTATGTTGTTTTATCTGGTGAGACCTGAACTGTTCGGGGGTAAATGTGGGACCTCATTCGTACCCCGACACAGATTGTTGTCCTCCTTCCTGTTGTTGGAGGTTTCAGTCTCGTGACCTCAGAGCCACAAAACCAGATCAGCTGAATTTACTAACCAGTCACAGTACCGTGATAACTAAACAGAACAGAACCAGTCTGGTCTCGTAGGTTTGATGCCCCGTCATCACAGTTCATTTTCACTTCCACTTCAGCACTTCCTTTCTTTTCATTTCTTTCATTTATTCTTTTCCTTCCCTCATTCTTCAACAATAAATAAAACATGTGAATGCTATTTATTATAACACATTTCTTAATAATATATATAATGCTATTTATTATATATATACATAATTCTGCATTTATATACAGTACTGATTTACTTCATCAAATATATAAAGATGGTTCATTCAATTCAAACAATATTCACATTTGGATTAAAAGTGTTGGGACAGTTACTCATTTATTACTTGTTCCTCAGTTAAAAAGCTATATATATTACTTTACTTGTTACTCCCTCGTTATATTACTTTCTGCAACTGCCCACAAAATTGGTAACTGTGTCTTTTCTGCCCGAAATTCAGATTTATGATGATTAAAATACAGTTTAAATTTTTAATTTAATGGAATATTTCCAGCTGCTGAGCGTGATATTGTAATTAATTATCTTTATTAGTTAGTTACACTACTAGTTACTGTAGAAAGTAATATTGTTACTGTAATTTTATTACTAGTAATGAGCTACTGAAACATGGACACTACATTGTGGTGAAACGTCCAGTGTTCCATCTAGTGGTGAATTTATAAACTACAACCAACTGAATACAGTTTCTCTGTGAAGGAGAAACTACGGTGGCAATCGATCCTCCTCACTGTTACACACTGGACCTTTGAGGTTTGGTGAAGTTTGTCCCCTCCTGTTCCCTGTCCCTTAAATGTTGCTCAGACTCTGGGCGGTGGTCAGGGACCGCCTCCCCTCTCCGGACAGCTTCCTCAGCAGTGACTCTCTGAAGGTTCGGCACATCAGGAAGTAGATGATGGGGTCAAGGCAGACGTTGAGTGCCGACAGGAAGAGCGTCCCCTCCTTCAGCTGGAACAGCCAGTAGCGGGTGTCCCGGCTGAAGTCCGACCGTGGCATCTGGCTCAGAGTGTACGGCACGCGGCAGACGTGGTACGGCACGAAGCAGACGAAGAACACCGCCAGGATGCTGAAGATGCTGCGGTTCGACTTCCGGCGGACGTCGCTGTTGTTGCGACGCACTCGGCGGTAAGACTGGTAGACCCGGCAGGCGATGGAGGAGTAGCAGAAGACGAGGACCAGCAGGGTCACCCAGAACACGCTGACGTTGAAGAGAGTGGACATCCGGTGCCACTGCATGCCGAGAGGCGTCTTCAGCTTCATGCAGTGCCGCGCGTTCCCCTCGTGGGCCGGCTGGCTGGTCAGCAGGACGTTGGGCAGGACGGAGAGGACGAGGAGGCTCCAGGTGAGGAGCGCCAGCACCCGGGCGAAGCTGACACTCTGCAGGAGGTGCAGCAGAGACACCCCGCCCAACCGGGAACTGCAGGAGGAGGACGGCGAGGTGTGGCGGACGATCTTGACGTAGCGTTCGAGGCTGATGAGGCCCATAAAGACGATGCCCACGTACATGGAGGAGTAGAAGACCACAGCGGTATAGCGGCAGATGACCACATCCAGGCGCCAGCCACCAAGGCCCATCTGAGCCGCCACACGGAAGGGGAAGGTGGCGAGCATGAGGAGGTCGGCCACCACCATGTTCTTCAGGTAGACCACCAAGCCCGAGTCACTGGGCACTCTGAAGAAGATCCAGGCGGCAATGCCGTTCAGGGGCATCCCCACGACACATATAACCAAATAAAGCGTCGGGAGGACGTTGCGGGTGAAGACGCTGTGGAAGTCTGATTGGTTGTTGGCAAGCTGGGTGGAGTTGAGGTAATCCATCCCTGGAAACACACAAACAACACGGTTTGAATAATAATAATGTACAGCATCGTTCTTGGTTAGTAATCGTCAATTATTGTTAGTATCAAGGATCATGTTAGCTGGGGAAGCTGGGAACGCCAGCTAACAGAGTAACAAACAGCAAACCAGCCAGATCAGCCCCGGGATGTGTAGGGAAGCGTCATCCTTACAAAGAAACACATAAATCAGTCCACAGGCAGCAGAGGAAGTCGGGGATGTTTATTTTTTAAGTTACGTTATAAATTGGAAATAAAAAGTGATTAATAGATGGTTCAGAATCCGACATATTGCACCTTTAAAACTAATCTTTGGTTAAGAAGGTGGAGCAGCTTCCGTCTGCTCTGAATCTCCCCACAGGAGCCTTTTATGTTCATGAACTGAACGCACAGCGCCGTGTTTACACTGGGACACGTGCACAAATACAAAGGGTCTTGTCCTGCTATTCACACACAAGCTTCCCTCCGACCACCGATTCATCCCGGTCCAACACTCGCTCCAGGTCCTCCTTCACCCACGCTTATAAAAACAGGACAGCGCTGACAGAAGGAGGACGACACCAGTTTGTTTTCCGTCCTGATTAGTGTATTTTTAGGCGCAACCGGGTCTCCAACGTCTGCTGGAACCAAACAACGCTTCCCGAGTCGATGCGGTTCGACCCCGACGTCCTCAATTCAACCTGAAAATCCTTTAAACCTTAAAGTTATCCATTCAGGTCCTCACCTTTGCAGATTTGTCCCCGGGGAACAGATCTCCATAAACTCTGACTTCCTGTGTTTATGCTGAGCGCATTAATTTACATGAAGCAGCTGCAGTTAAACAGCTTTCATCAGAGAGAAATCCCTCCCAGCTCAGTGTGTCTGTAAATTACGCCTCTGTAATAAAACAGCTGCAGTATATAAATTATCAGACTCCTCTTCGAAGTCCTACAGTGGCTGAAGTTACTTGGGAAGACTGAATAGGCGTTAAACTAACTTACCCAGTGTCCAGGTGAAATAAAAAAGGCCATTTTTATATTAAAATCCAACCATTGTGTGTTCTTGTTAAACTAAATGTGACGCGTGTTTCCGTCAGCATGAACTAACTGACTTCAACCAATAATATTCTGACATTCACCCGTCTATCTAACGGTAATGCAGCTAACGTAGTTTTTCACCTGGACTTTAATCATAACGTTAGCAAGCAGAGATCAGTTTACCTGTTTATCCATCCAATAGTTGATGAAAATTAATTGATAAATGCTTGAAATTAGCTATTAGAAACAAATCATGACAGAACCTAAAGTTCAATTCAGTTTTATTTGCATAACAGAAGTTATCTCAGGACACTTTTCAAATAGAGCAGGTCTAGACCGAACTCTTTATAACATTATTTACAGAGACCCAACAGTACCACCATGAGCAAGACCTTGGAGACAAGGGCAAGGAAACACTGCCTGTTAAAAGGCAGAAACCTGAGTACTGGAGTTCTGATTGTGTAAGATTAAATAAATATAAAGGTTTCATTCTGATGGAGAATAATAATAACTTCTGCTTTCATACTAAAGGAAGTGATTCAACGATAACTGACTGAGGCTAATGCTAATAGCTTTCTATAATATCCTGCACTTTAAAGTTAGTTATAAAGCCACAGTCAGCAGCTTGTTAGCTTAGCTTAGCATAAAGCACTGGAAACAGCTAGCCTGGCTCCGTTAATGCTAATGAAATCGACTCACCAGGATCTCTAAACCAGGACCAGTTGGAAACCTTAAATATATTAATATATAAATATATAAGTATAATATAACTCCACTCTATAGAGACACTTTACTCTCCACTTCTTTTATCTGTTATATTTATTAAGTTTTCACAGTTTCTGTGAAGATAATCTCTCGTTATATAATGACGTAATTAATGATTATATCATTTTCCTGGAACGTTTATCTGTTGTTGTTTTGTTTGACTGCTCATGGCAACAGCTGCCGATGCAGATCGGCCGTTGATAACTCGGAAAAACATTTTAATTTCTATGTTGTTGTCGATA